AAAACTAAAGTTAATTGTACAGTCAGATTGTAAGGTATGTGGTGACCCTAAGTCGGCACCCTGGAACTAGTTTAGAGAATGCAAAACTCCCTTGAAGCAGGTTAAATTTAGGTCATAGGTCAATTGCACCTGTCAGTGAATTCTGAATGATCTCATAGGCATCTCAAACTTATGTGAAACTGATGCCATCAACACAAGCCTAAGACCTGTCTACACAAGCTCTAAATATGCAGGTTTAGCTGATCGGAACATGCATGTAAATGTAAAGATCTTTTGGCAGTCAAATCAAGTCTGTACAGGCCTTTTATACAAGGTGTTCTCTATCATTTTGTTGCTGTGGTTTATCATAGAGATGCACAATTGTAGTAAGGCAAGAATACAAGAATGGGAGGACAACCACTTTACATGATCAAAATGTCTGCTGTTTTTGAACAGATGGCCATCTCTAGCCAAATCATTTTTACCTTTGAATATTGTGTGTGTATATGTATGTGTGCATAATATATACACACACAGGCACTATTGACAAAAGTATTGGGACACCCCTCCAAATCATTGGATTCAGGTGAAATTTCCTTGCCAATAAATATTCCACGGTCAACTGTTAGTGGTATTATAACAAAGTGGAAGCAACTGGGAACAACAGCAACTCAGCCATGAAGTGGTAGGCTGCATAAAATGACAGAGCGGGGTCAGCGCACTTGCAGAAGTCAATAGCTACAGACCTTCAAACTCCGTGTGGCCTTCAGATTGGCACAACAACTGTGCAGAGAGCTTCATGGAATGGGTTTCCATGACCCACCAGCTGCATCCAAGCCTTACATCACCAAGTGCAATGCAAAGCGTCGGATGCAGTGGTGTAAAGCACGCCGCCACTGGACTCTAGAGAAGTGGAGACGTGTTCTCTGGAGTGACAAATCACGCTTCTCTGTCTGGCAATCCGATGGTCATGTCTGGGTTTGGTGGTTGCCAGGGGAACGGTACTTGCCTGACTGCATTGTGCCAAGTGTAAAGTTTGGTGGAGGGGGAATTATGGTTTGGGGTTGTTTTTCAGGGGTTTAGCTTGGCTCCTTAGTTCCAGTGAAGGGAACTCTTAAGGCATCAACATACCAAGACATTTTGGACATTTTCATGCTCCCAACTTTGTGGGAACAGTTTGGGGATGGCCCCTTCCCGTTCCAACGTGACTGCGCACCAGTGCACAAAGCAAGGTCCATGAAGACATGGATGAGCGAGTTTGGGGTGGAGGAACTTGACTGGCCTGCACAGAGTCCTGACCTCAACCCGATAGAACACCTTTGGGATGAATTAGAGCATAGACTGCGAGCCAGGCCTTCTCGTCCAACATCAGTACCTGAAAACAGTAGGTCCCCTTGCAGCGTTTCCAGTCCATGTAAGAATAGTGGTGCTCGCAGTGACAATCAAGGATGGCGCCGTGCACAGCAGTCGAAGGATAGAAATCACCAGCACTCGGCAAATGAAGTTCAAAAAATAACGTCCATTTATTTGGACTTCACGTCACACATATCACATTGTCCAACGTTTCGGGACCACGCAGGGTCCCTTCATCGGGGCAGAGATGTGACAACATCAGTACCTGACCTCACAAATGCGCTTCTGGAAGAATGGTCAAACATTCCTATAGGCACACTCCTAAACCTTGTGGACGCCTTCCCAGAAGAGTTGAAGCTGTTATATCGGGAAAGGGGCAGCCAACTCAATATTGAACCCTACGGACTAAGACTGGGATACCATTTAAAGTTAATTTGTGGCGTTCTTTACACCACTGCATCCGACACTTTACATTGCACTTGGTGAATGTAAGGCTTGGATGCAGCTGCTCGGCCATGGAAACCCATTCCATGAAGCTCTCTATGCACTGTTGTTGCGCCAATCTGAAGGCCACACAACGTTTGGAAGTTTGTAGCTATTGAGTTGCTGTTGTTCCCAGTTGCTTCCACTTTGTTATAATACCACTAACCGTTGACCGTGCAATATTTAGTAGCAAGGAAATTTCACAGATGGACTTATTGCACAGGGGGCAACCTATCACGGTACCATGCTTGAATTCACGGAGCTATTGAGAGCGACCCATTCTTTCACAAATGTTTGTAGAAGCAGTCTGCATGCCTAGGTGCTTGATTTTATACACCTGTGCCAATACTTTTGGCAATATAGTGTGTGTGTGTGTGATATATGTATTATATATCACACACACACACACTCTCTATTTTGGTGCTCTGGGCTGTGGCTACCCACACCACAAAAGTAAATGTTTGCTACTTTAGAGCCAAAGGAAATCTCAGCGCTCCAATTCCTTAGCCACCATCAGGACTCCCCAGGTGTTGGTTTAATAGGTGCGTCTCCACCAGCCAGAGAATTCCAATACTTAAAAAATTCACAGCATATCCAGTATAACAGTGAATACAATTGTATAAAGCAGCAAATACGAGCACTGCACACCCCCAACCAGCCACAACCTCTCACATGTTTCGCCCGTAGGCTTATCCAAAATGCTTGCTACCGTTTGTATTGGAATTCACCACTCTTGGCAGACATTAGATATGTATATTTGTCTACCATATATAGTTGTTTTCTTGTAAGAAGTCATCCTCTCCCTTTAGGGAAAGCATGACTGAACTTGTTAACATCGTGCTTTGTTTAGCTGGAACTGCGTATGTAATATGTTTTTGGCAATGTGCAGGTGAACAATTTTGAACACTTTCCAAACCACACAACACAAAGCAGGCTGCAGGATGGTTGTCACATGGATTTTCATAATACAGAATTATGCTGTGAGTTCCAGAGTCTAATCCTGCAGAAATAATGTTTTCACTTGATCTCTCCAAAATAATAAATGGTTAGATTTCTTTTGAGGATTATCAACTCTCATTGGCCAGACTAAGCGTTTTGTTTTAGAAAGAAAGCTTTGCCTGCACTGGGTGTTGTCACATTTCTAATGAATCAGATTCTACATATGTTTGTATGTAGTGCTTGTGGCGGGGTAAAACTGGAACTGGTTGTACAGGTGCCATTAAATACCTTTTTTAAAGGTGAACTACTGGAAAACAACTAAATATACAGATGACATACATATATGGGGGCTGTTTTACCTGACAAACATGTACCTTTTAAGCACAATATATGTATTTAGATTGTGCTTTGTTTACAGAGCTCAACAAGTAAAGTTGCACCGATCTAAATTAATCCGAGGAGTGACCTTCACTCTGCTTTTCCCTCATCGGCTTGTACTGCTCTGTGCAGACTTTCGGTCCAATCAAAAACGTAAGGCTCTGTGACACCAATGCCATCGATGCACCCTGTAAATAAATGTGTAATTGAAATACAAAGATTTAAAAAAAATAGTAACAAAAATGTAAAACATCAGTTTAAAAACATTTACACTTAAAAATAAGAATGAAAGAACTCTAGGATTTTTTTAAAATCAAACCTTGCAGAGGGGCTACCCCCACACTGCAAGGATTAAGAGCTGGTTTGGGTCTAGGTGCTAAAGTAACAAAGTTATACTCACCTGAAGCTTTGAGCCGGCCAGCTGTCGCAGAGTTCCATCCAGCCTCTCTCTTCCTCCCTCCAGCATTGGACTCTTCCTCAGCATCCTCATGTCAATACACTGTGTATAGACGTTGAGGATTTATGGGACCTTAGACCGCTGCGGAGGAGGGGGGAGACGTTGGAAGGAAAGGTCTAAGAAGAAGTCGGCTTGGAGCTGCGGGTGAGTAACTTTTTTTTTTCTACCTAGACGCAAAAGAAACACTTAACCCTTGCAGTGTGGGTGCAGCCCCACTGCAAGGGTTAATGAAAAAAAAATCCTGAGTTCTTCTTTAAACCTGACCCCAAAGTATTGTAGTTTCTTGTTAAAGCTGAATTCCAAGCAGATTTTAAACAATTAAAAAATAAACAAATTAATGCAGTTCTGCATTTATTAATACATCATTAAATGCGTTTTTTTTATTGCAAGCAGTGTGGTTATCTTAATTTGATCTTGCATCAGCCTCTTGCAGTTCCTTTACAGCATAACTCAGAGAGGGGGAAAGAGAAGCAGGTTCAAAGAGCCAATCCGGCATTTTGCAGTACAAGGAACATGCTGATAGGAGAGAGCAGAGTGGCAGAAATTTGTCAGCCAGTGTGCTGCTTGTTCTTTTACTGTCAAGTCGCAAGGTGTGGGTAGGGAGTAGATTTGAAAGTATAAATGTAGCTGAGAAAGATTAGGTTTCCTCTTCTGCCAGGGCTTACCGGACCGAAAACTGCTTTTTATGATAAAGATAGAGAGAGATATATAGAAAGAGAGAGATGGTAAGCCGTATTAGTCCAGCAGACAAGACGCCAAAAAAAACAAAACCACGGAGTATTGAAGTATGCAATGATATCTTTCTTATTGGACTAACAACTAACATAATATTTAAAAGACAAGCTTGCCTTTTAAATATTATATTAGTCCACTAAGAATGATATCTTTGCATACTGCAATACTCCGTGTGTGCCTCCCCCCCCCGCGTCATTATATATATATATAAATAAATTTTGTGTGTTTAGGCACAGCAGCAGCACAACTGTTTTTAGTCTTTCTTTTTTTCTTCCAATGAACTATGCTGAACATTGCCTCATTGCATTAAACTGCTGCAGCCTGAAATCCGGTTGCTGCCTGAATGATTATGCATTTACCCCCTGGTATAGGCCTGTATCTGAATTTATTTGGTTGAAAAAACACACTGAGCAAAAAACAAGGATGTAACAAGTCTGATGTGTAACATGGGCTAGTCATCTATGAGCAAGTTACTTCTATGTCCTGCATCTGTGCCCCATAATGCATGTTTTTCCATGCATCACCTGTTGTGTTTTGAAGCATTATAACTTGTGACATTGGCTGTATAAAGGGTGATACTAGCTGTGTTTCTGTGGTATCTGTAATGTAATGTTTTCCTGAGCATGAACAAAGCAAAGTGTAATTTATACTTTTTATAATTCTGTTGTGTTGCCAGGTCCCTGTTTCACATTGCTTTCGTCCACCGGGGCATTACAAAAGGAAGTTCTGCGCAGTCTGTAGAAAACTTTTGGAAGACAGTCTAGCCTTACGGTGTGAAGGTAAGTTTTTCTAAACACATATTCCCTACTGCAACCCGGTAACATCTCTTAACAAGTCAGATGTCAGTTTGGACTCTCTGGGGGGAATTTATCATAGCAATTGCGAGTATTTCAACTAACACGGAATATATTTGATGCACTTTGCACCAGATTTATGTTGCTAGTGTAATGTAAATTAGGTAAAATAGGCTCCAGGAAAGAAGACTTGTAACTCCAGGAAAAATGCTTAAACTGTCGCTTCTTAAAGAAGTGGTGTTGGAGACCTCTTAAGTTGTGATTGTTTTGTTAGGTGATGCTCCAGTTTCAGTCAGCCGCAGAACAAGTGCAGATGAAAACAGGTACAAAACACATGCAGTTGGAAAAGTAGTGTAAGCTCTGGTGAAAACAGGGGCACATGTTAAAAGACAGATTTGCACATTAAAAAAAATGATCGAAGAGGCTAAAACTGTCACAAATGCTTTGATAAATTACCCCCACTGTATTTTTTTTTTCACAGAGAAATATAATATTGATGAAAATTCTGTGGGAAGATGTGGTTTGGGTAACGCATTTAATATTTAGGAAAAATGTAATTGAATAAAAAATTAAACTTAATTTGGTAATGAATGTCATCATGGCCTGTAGCTTGGGGGGGGGGGGTTTGTGTGAACTCTTCTGGTTACTCTGTACACTTGCTGTACACAGCAGGGTGAAGTCATCATCAACAGTAGCCACCAATGTTTTGCCTGTTCAGCCTTTGGTGACCTGACTTTCCCAGTGGCTGTTTGAACGTATTACACTCCAGAAAAAAAAGTATGTAAACCCAAACAATGAGCTTCTTTTATTTACTACCTTTTGGTATGTTAAAAGCATTATGTTATATCGGTTTTATAAGTGCAACACTTTCTCACAAGTGTTGCTCTTATGAGAAATTCCAAGCTATCTAGTGCTCTCGGCCTGTATTATCTTGAGACTATTTAGTGCTCCCAGTTCTTATCTTGAACTATGTCAGTTAGTCACTGTGCTGACAACATTCAGTTCATAAAAATGCTAAGGGCAGCATTGGGCTAAAATACAGCCCTGAATAATGTTCATAGGGACAAAAGAAGTCAGCACAACCCCCAATGTATTAATAAAGTAAAGTAGAATTCTGATTAAACAGCTAAATGCAACTTGAGCCAGGTGACCATTCTTCCATTGCTCTGTAGTCAGTTCTGATGCTCATGTCCCCATTGTAGGCACTTTTGACGGTGGATAGAGGACAGTGTGGGCACCCTGACCAATCTGCGGCTACGCAGCCCCATGCGCAACAAGCTGTGATGCACTGCGTGTTCAGTCACCTATCTTATCAGAACCAGCATTAATTTTTTCAGCATTTTGAGGTACAGTAGCCCTTCCATTGGATGGGACTACACAGGCCAGCCTTAATACCCCCCCCCCCCCCACCCCCCGCCGCCGGGCGTCTGCCCCCCCCCCCCCTCT